GGTGTCAAATAGCTCGATTAAGGCCATTGTGGTGGAGGAACCTTTAACATTGCCAAACTGATCTTTCTTAATATGTGGTCCTAGTATCTCCCACAGCCATGTAAAAATGAATGCTTCCAATTCCTTGCTGAGGATAGGTGTTAGGGAAACAGGTCTTAAATCATTTTCCACGCTCAGTGCTGGTTTAATTTTAGGCAGTGGCACTACATTGGCACATTTCCAGATTGTTGGTAGCTTTCCTTGACGTATGGTATTGTTCCAGATTGCACATACTGGTGCACCGAGAACTCCAGCAAAGTCTTTGAGAATCCAGTTCGGTATATTATCAGGACCGGATGCCTTGTTTGTGTTAATATTAATGAGAGATCTTTCCACTTGTTCTACTGTGAGCTGGTACTGTGAGGGAATGTTAACATCATGGAAGTCCGTCTCATCTAAGGGGTCTAGGTGAGAAGTAATGGACTGGAAGAAGTTGTTGATGTTTTGTGCAAGTGCTTCCATATCCCCCTCATGGAGATGGTTGGCCATGGTGGTCAGAGAGGCACTGTTTTGAGATTTACCCATGATGTTATTGATACCTTTCCACCATTTCCCTGGGTCTGACGATTTTGCCTCTTCAATCTGAGTTCTGTAGTAGACCGTTTGTAACCGTTTGCGTTCTTGGTTTACTTTGTTTCTAAGGTTTCTAAATTCAGGGTCCTTCAGTTGAAAGGCACGCTGGCGTTGGATGATTAGGTCACGAAACTCATCTGTCACCCAAGGCTTGTCATGTGTACTCCTTGTCACAACCTTGGTGGGGAAGTGGGTTTCTATTAAGTTATGCAAGGTCTGATAAAACATATCACATTGCTGATGGACACAGTCACTGTGGTATAGTTCATCCCAGTGGATGTTTTGAATGGCATCTGCGAAACTAATTCGTTTTGAAAGTGGGTATTTTCGGACAGTCACCTTACATTTCCTGGCTGATTGTAACATTTGTGATGCGACAGGTTTCACTAAGATGGTTTCATGTTTAGACAAGCCAATAGGAGACAAATGGACTGGGCTCTGATAGTAATATTGCATGTTGGTATAAACAAGATCTAAGGTGGAGTTCATATGTGTAGGACATTTTACCAGTTGTTTTAATCTGTGGCTTTTAATGAGCAATTTGTCAGGCAGATGGTTAAAGTCTCCGGTCAAAATTATTCCAGCATTCTTATTCTTGTACTGTTTGGTTTAAAATTACCCTGCTTATTTTATGTAATGTTCTAACATTTACTTCGACAATGAGTTGTATTTTAATCTGTAAATTTATATCAGTGCCATTTTTTTTTCTTTTTTTTTTTTTTTTTTTGTGATAGGTAGCAGTTGCAACTATATTCAAGCGGGACTCCTCTAGTGTTGTGTTAAACTGGTTTTTGTATATTATATATGTTCACAACCAAACAATATTGATGTATAGACTGTTTTTCCAGGGTGATATACAAAAAGGCATAGATTATTATGAGAAGGCGAGGTTAATTCTTTCCGTAAAGGGTACTCCTGTAGACATGGCCTCTCTGTATCAGCATCTGGGTTGGAATTACTACAAGACTGGCGAACTGAATGAGTCACAACGGTTCGTTTTTCTTTTAAGATTTTAAAATTAATGTATATTTTTATACAGGTTAAAAGTGAAACGCGCTCTGTGTCGAAGCTAAGGAAATTGTATTGAAAATACCTTGATCTATTTTATGGTACACGCCACACACGTTATGGGTATGCTCTGGCCTGCCCTTTTGCATCAGAATTATCAATTTAGAACGACCATATATGACGAACGCATTTGGGCCGTAAGAAGTATCACATTGGGATAAATAGGTACAAATAACCGATCTTTTCTTCAAAAACGTACATACTTGCTGCTTTGTAAATTTTAGACATAAATATCTCTCTTAAAAGTTTTTCTAGGTAATGCAATGTCAAACGTTCATACTTTTTTTTAAGATTTCAAAAAGAAGGCAGTGCAGACTAGTAGTACTCTGCAACGTCTGGAAATTTTGGTTCTGAATAAAGTTAACTTTTCACGTGACACTGTAAAGGTAATAACAACCGAGGTTTTCTTTAAAAAACGAATATACTTTTCTGTTGATATCTTCCAGTTTCAGTGGCGGAGGTTTACGACTTCTTTTGTGTTATTAGTTATGTGTTTTCTTAAATAGAGATGGCGTTTTGATTGACAGGTATCTTCAGAAGGCATACAAACTAGAAGAGGAGGGGGGTATGCACACAAACGTTGTTATGTGCCAAACCTTTTCGACCTTGGGGCTTGTCTTGACAGGGATGGGTAAGTGTAATCATCGCGTTACATAATTTTCATCTCTTTGAAGAGCAAGTTTTAAAAAACATAAGTTATAAATTAACTGGGAAGGAAAACACTTTATTTTCTTATTAAAAACGAAGCTATTTATGGGGCAAGATTTTAGTGTGTACTAGTAAGCCGTCCAGCCTGTGTAGCAATAGGCTCTATATGTTCTCCCTCGTTTTTAATTTTTTTTTATTTTTCTTTATTAACTAAAGAAGGAGTGAAATCATCATTTCATTAATATAATAATGATAATTTCAGGAAAGTTTGAGGAGGCCATACGCTATTTTATGCACTCCTTTGAGCTACGGGTGTCCAACTTTGGAGAACACCCTTCCCTCGGGAGTATCTACAACAATATGGGAATGACGTATCTTGAGCAGGGAGATGATGACCGAGCGCTGAAGAATTTTGAACTTGGTCTGAAATACAAACGAAAGTTTATGAAACAACCCAATTTAGCCGTGGTTGACTCTTTAAGCAATACAGCAATGCTCTACGTCAAAAAGGGGAATACTGAGAGAGCTATGCCTATGCTGCAGGAGGCGTTAGCTATGTGTCAGAAAATTGGGAAGACGACAGATATTGCTCTCATTTATGATGATTTTGGACTTGTTTGTATGAAGAAAAAGGAGTTTCCTGAAGCTGAGGATTATTTTCAGAAAGCTGTTGACACCCGAAGAGAACATACACCTAATCATTTCACATTGGTTGAGCACCTGCTTCATTTAGGACAGGCACAGGCTGAGCAAATATACGAGGCAGAGGCTCAGCTAGCTGACCAAGAAAACGTGGCACCAAATGGACAGACTGTGGTTGCTGAAAATAACAGCAATAAATGTGAACAAGCATTTAAACATCATGATGGTAATTTGTCCACGAATGAACAAAACACAATGCCCAAGGCGACTGGTAGACCACGCCAAGGGGTTCTACGCTGTGATCAATATCGAGATCTATATGAACAAAGTCGGTACAACTTGCAAGAAGCTGCTGAATTAACTCCTCAGGTTCATGAGCAATTCCCAAGATCTAAAATGCCGTTCACAGTTTACAAGGAACTGGCAAAGCTTTACAGGGTGGCCGGTGAAGCCAAAGCGTCGACGAAAAATGAAATGTTGGCAAATATGGAAGTGACGCGTTTGAAACGGCTTGGCGTACAAGTTGATGAAGATTTTCCGGTGGAGAAAGCATAATATTTGCTCCAAAAATACAGGCAACTGGCATTTCAGGAACGGTTATCTTTATGATTCAAAACTTAATATTGTACCCTGTATATACCGATACCATGTATCTGATTTTGACATACAAAAAAAATTAACAAAAAAGAAATTCATCAGTTTTTGATCGATAGGACTGGATTACATGGTTTTGTTCTTTCAAAAGCAGCTCACTGGTGCTAGTACAAAAATTAAGTAACACACTGAAACTGGGTTTTAATTAGGAACAGATTCTGATGGCATTTTATTGAGTAGATTGAAAAAAATGAATTGACCGGCTGAACATACAACATAGTCTGCTGTAAGAGTTTGCCATTATGCATATGGTCCTAAAACAACTTGGGGCGTAGGCTGCGAGGCACAAAGATTTTGAAAAAATATACATGTTGAGGAGTTCTTTATAAATTGTATGACTTCTTCCATTTCTCAGTCAGTAAACGTCCTAGAGAGATCCAAGTGCGATCTAAATAACGTTATATCATGAGTATTGTAGACTTAAAACGGCTGTCCCCCAGTAGTAATTGCTTCGCCACCGGCACTGAGACACATCTACCGCAATCTGCTTCTTCCCGCCTTTTGTGATACGACATCATTGAGAGGATGTATCAAAATATTCGCTTTGATATCCATCGAAATCTGAACTATTATACCTGGCATACATGCCCTTTCCATATGCCTTTTATTATCCAGTGTTTATAAGATGATGATTGTTTCTTTTTTCTCCTTGTTTATCTTATCTGAGGGACAGTACAAGACCAAAATACGTTTTGTCTTGTGTGATGAACTTGTGCAATCAAGTCACTAGAGCAGCTGCATCAAACATATATTAAACAAATATCAAACAAAAAAATGACTGTATTGTAATGCGCTGTACGATACAAAGGGACTATGCAAAATGAAAAAAAAGGTTTACTACATTTGATATAATGAAATAAATTAGTAGTTCAAGTCGTGTGTTGGTTGTTTTTGAAGAGTAATATTAAATATTAGAACATTTAATTATTAACATTTGTTGGTCCTTGTGGCACAACCACTTTTTCTTGTACATGTATCAGAGCTAGTTAGTGCTGTGATTCCAATACAATAAATAGCTTTGAATAGTGACTAACGAAGCTTTGTTTCTTCGTGACTTTGATTCAGTTGTATTATGACATATTTACATAATATGATATAAATGTGTACAACATTTTCAAAATCTTTATTTAGTATTTGTGTTCATTTCTACTAAGAGTCCATCGCTAGTTTAACTCGAAGTACCATGTAAGAAGCACGGAATTTTCAAAATGTTTGTCAAAGTAGTATGTACCATGCTAACAGACTAGTTAAAAGAACCTCTGTCTGAGACTAAAAATAATTAAAAACTCAAGTAGTACCCATATGGAAAATAGTTGATAAAAGATGTTCTAAACCACAGACTGTAAAACTAAAATGGTTTTGTTGGGGTGTGATTAATGGATTAAATTTAAAATTGTGACCTGGCCTACGACATATCCCGCACGAAAATGCAGTAGTATCGAAGTAGCAAAGAGGCATTAACGCAGTAGAGGTGTGGAGCATATTTGCAGTAGAAATGCAGTATAGCCTACTGCAATTCTACTTCAAAAATTACATAGCGTTGTACAGAGGAGGAGCATTAATGCAGTAGATTAGCAGCATGATAGAAGCATGTTTCAAATATGCTAATTAGCTCCCACATCGAAGCAGATTTGAAGCATGTTTGCAGTATGATTGCAGTAGTCTACTGCGCTGGAGTATCTACTTCGTTTTTGTGCGGGCTATACCGACACTTGATACAAGTACTTTTACAGGTTATCCCGCACAAAAACGAAGTAGATACTCCAGCGCAGTAGACTACTGCAATCATACTGCAAACATGCTTCAAATCTGCTTCGATGTGGGAGCTAATTAGCATATTTGAAACATGCTTCTATCATGCTGCTAATCTACTGCATTAATGCTCCTCCTCTGTACAACGCTATGTAATTTTTGAAGTAGAATTGCAGTAGGCTATACTGCATTTCTACTGCAAATATGCTCCACACCTCTACTGCGTTAATGCCTCTTTGCTACTTCGATACTACTGCATTTTCGTGCGGGATATGTCGTAGGCCAGGTCACAATTTTAAATTTAATCCATTAATCACACCCCAACAAAACCATTTTAGTTTTACAGTCTGTGGTTTAGAACATCTTTTATCAACTATTTTCCATATGGGTACTACTTGAGTTTTTAATTATTTTTAGTCTCAGACAGAGGTTCTTTTAACTAGTCTGTTAGCATGGTACATACTACTTTGACAAACATTTTGAAAATTCCGTGCTTCTTACATGGTACTTCGAGTTAAACTAGCGATGGACTCTTAGTAGAAATGAACACAAATACTAAATAAAGATTTTGAAAATGTTGTACACATTTATATCATATTATGTAAATATGTCATAATACAACTGAATCAAAGTCACGAAGAAACAAAGCTTCGTTAGTCACTATTCAAAGCTATTTATTGTATTGGAATCACAGCACTAACTAGCTCTGATACATGTACAAGAAAAAGTGGTTGTGCCACAAGGACCAACAAATGTTAATAATTAAATGTTCTAATATTTAATATTACTCTTCAAAAACAACCAACACACGACTTGAACTACTAATTTATTTCATTATATCAAATGTAGTAAACCTTTTTTTTCATTTTGCATAGTCCCTTTGTATCGTACAGCGCATTACAATACAGTCATTTTTTTGTTTGATATTTGTTTAATATATGTTTGATGCAGCTGCTCTAGTGACTTGATTGCACAAGTTCATCACACAAGACAAAACGTATTTTGGTCTTGTACTGTCCCTCAGATAAGATAAACAAGGAGAAAAAAGAAACAATCATCATCTTATAAACACTGGATAATAAAAGGCATATGGAAAGGGCATGTATGCCAGGTATAATAGTTCAGATTTCGATGGATATCAAAGCGAATATTTTGATACATCCTCTCAATGATGTCGTATCACAAAAGGCGGGAAGAAGCAGATTGCGGTAGATGTGTCTCAGTGCCGGTGGCGAAGCAATTACTACTGGGGGACAGCCGTTTTAAGTCTACAATACTCATGATATAACGTTATTTAGATCGCACTTGGATCTCTCTAGGACGTTTACTGACTGAGAAATGGAAGAAGTCATACAATTTATAAAGAACTCCTCAACATGTATATTTTTTCAAAATCTTTGTGCCTCGCAGCCTACGCCCCAAGTTGTTTTAGGACCATATGCATAATGGCAAACTCTTACAGCAGACTATGTTGTATGTTCAGCCGGTCAATTCATTTTTTTCAATCTACTCAATAAAATGCCATCAGAATCTGTTCCTAATTAAAACCCAGTTTCAGTGTGTTACTTAATTTTTGTACTAGCACCAGTGAGCTGCTTTTGAAAGAACAAAACCATGTAATCCAGTCCTATCGATCAAAAACTGATGAATTTCTTTTTTGTTAATTTTTTTTGTATGTCAAAATCAGATACATGGTATCGGTATATACAGGGTACAATATTAAGTTTTGAATCATAAAGATAACCGTTCCTGAAATGCCAGTTGCCTGTATTTTTGGAGCAAATATTATGCTTTCTCCACCGGAAAATCTTCATCAACTTGTACGCCAAGCCGTTTCAAACGCGTCACTTCCATATTTGCCAACATTTCATTTTTCGTCGACGCTTTGGCTTCACCGGCCACCCTGTAAAGCTTTGCCAGTTCCTTGTAAACTGTGAACGGCATTTTAGATCTTGGGAATTGCTCATGAACCTGAGGAGTTAATTCAGCAGCTTCTTGCAAGTTGTACCGACTTTGTTCATATAGATCTCGATATTGATCACAGCGTAGAACCCCTTGGCGTGGTCTACCAGTCGCCTTGGGCATTGTGTTTTGTTCATTCGTGGACAAATTACCATCATGATGTTTAAATGCTTGTTCACATTTATTGCTGTTATTTTCAGCAACCACAGTCTGTCCATTTGGTGCCACGTTTTCTTGGTCAGCTAGCTGAGCCTCTGCCTCGTATATTTGCTCAGCCTGTGCCTGTCCTAAATGAAGCAGGTGCTCAACCAATGTGAAATGATTAGGTGTATGTTCTCTTCGGGTGTCAACAGCTTTCTGAAAATAATCCTCAGCTTCAGGAAACTCCTTTTTCTTCATACAAACAAGTCCAAAATCATCATAAATGAGAGCAATATCTGTCGTCTTCCCAATTTTCTGACACATAGCTAACGCCTCCTGCAGCATAGGCATAGCTCTCTCAGTATTCCCCTTTTTGACGTAGAGCATTGCTGTATTGCTTAAAGAGTCAACCACGGCTAAATTGGGTTGTTTCATAAACTTTCGTTTGTATTTCAGACCAAGTTCAAAATTCTTCAGCGCTCGGTCATCATCTCCCTGCTCAAGATACGTCATTCCCATATTGTTGTAGATACTCCCGAGGGAAGGGTGTTCTCCAAAGTTGGACACCCGTAGCTCAAAGGAGTGCATAAAATAGCGTATGGCCTCCTCAAACTTTCCTGAAATTATCATTATTATATTAATGAAATGATGATTTCACTCCTTCTTTAGTTAATAAAGAAAAATAAAAAAAAATTAAAAACGAGGGAGAACATATAGAGCCTATTGCTACACAGGCTGGACGGCTTACTAGTACACACTAAAATCTTGCCCCATAAATAGCTTCGTTTTTAATAAGAAAATAAAGTGTTTTCCTTCCCAGTTAATTTATAACTTATGTTTTTTAAAACTTGCTCTTCAAAGAGATGAAAATTATGTAACGCGATGATTACACTTACCCATCCCTGTCAAGACAAGCCCCAAGGTCGAAAAGGTTTGGCACATAACAACGTTTGTGTGCATACCCCCCTCCTCTTCTAGTTTGTATGCCTTCTGAAGATACCTGTCAATCAAAACGCCATCTCTATTTAAGAAAACACATAACTAATAACACAAAAGAAGTCGTAAACCTCCGCCACTGAAACTGGAAGATATCAACAGAAAAGTATATTCGTTTTTTAAAGAAAACCTCGGTTGTTATTACCTTTACAGTGTCACGTGAAAAGTTAACTTTATTCAGAACCAAAATTTCCAGACGTTGCAGAGTACTACTAGTCTGCACTGCCTTCTTTTTGAAATCTTAAAAAAAAGTATGAACGTTTGACATTGCATTACCTAGAAAAACTTTTAAGAGAGATATTTATGTCTAAAATTTACAAAGCAGCAAGTATGTACGTTTTTGAAGAAAAGATCGGTTATTTGTACCTATTTATCCCAATGTGATACTTCTTACGGCCCAAATGCGTTCGTCATATATGGTCGTTCTAAATTGATAATTCTGATGCAAAAGGGCAGGCCAGAGCATACCCATAACGTGTGTGGCGTGTACCATAAAATAGATCAAGGTATTTTCAATACAATTTCCTTAGCTTCGACACAGAGCGCGTTTCACTTTTAACCTGTATAAAAATATACATTAATTTTAAAATCTTAAAAGAAAAACGAACCGTTGTGACTCATTCAGTTCGCCAGTCTTGTAGTAATTCCAACCCAGATGCTGATACAGAGAGGCCATGTCTACAGGAGTACCCTTTACGGAAAGAATTAACCTCGCCTTCTCATAATAATCTATGCCTTTTTGTATATCACCCTGGAAAAACAGTCTATACATCAATATTGTTTGGTTGTGAACATATATAATATACAAAAACCAGTTTAACACAACACTAGAGGAGTCCCGCTTGAATATAGTTGCAACTGCTACCTATCACAAAAAAAAAAAAAAAAAAAGAAAAAAAAATGGCACTGATATAAATTTACAGATTAAAATACAACTCATTGTCGAAGTAAATGTTAGAACATTACATAAAATAAGCAGGGTAATTTTAAACCAAACAGTACAAGAATAAGAATGCTGGAATAATTTTGACCGGAGACTTTAACCATCTGCCTGACAAATTGCTCATTAAAAGCCACAGATTAAAACAACTGGTAAAATGTCCTACACATATGAACTCCACCTTAGATCTTGTTTATACCAACATGCAATTTTAATTAATTAAAGTACAAAAAACGTACGATATCAGGAATGAATATGAAATTCCTCACGATAACTCCCACTCATTGTGAGCTGAACCTCCTACCAGACCAAATAATAAGAAAGATAATACAGTTATATGATCTCTCATAAATTTAGAAAGTCATACAAATCATAAATTTTCAAATGATTATTTATGTACCTCAATATTGGTCACCGCCTGTGCATATGCAGATAGCATAAGTCCATAATGTCTGTCTTCGGCACCATCAAACATTCTAGCCTGTTCCATCATGTCTTCATAGAAGCCAATGCTATCCTCTGCATAATAAATAAATTATCCATAATCATGATAGCAGGGTAAGGTAAGTGTTTTTATAAAATATGTTTATAAACAGAAGTCATGTATTTGAGATTTTTGAATGATTGTACCATAAACATCTGCATGCTTTAATTCACCCTACTAAATGTAATACAAACAACCATCAGTCAGTAAATACATGTTCACAATGAAATCAGCAAATACTTATATATGCATAAAACTCTACATAAAAGATACAAAACCCCAAATCAGACAAATAAACTACGGTGCTTGTGACTTTACCCATTTCTAGGTAAGAATAATAAAAAACATACTCTGGAAAAAGTTGATGATAGGGTATTCTGCAAGCACAGCCACTTTGATAAAACTTTTGTAGCTGTCTTCAGTACAATGCATCGCCTGTGTGAGCAGCTTCTCCAAGTTCTTCCATTCCACGTCCATGGTGGCAGTGGCTGTCTTTGAGTTCTTGGACAGCATTTGGTTATTAACACACTGAAGAATATCTGCGAAAAACTTACTGTAACGGAGCCTAACCTCTGAAAAGAATATAGTATGTCGATTTTAGAATGAGACCGCTGAGGTCTTATTTCCAATGAAAGTGGAGTTGGGTTGATCTACTTAGAATGATAGTTTCATTAGGAATAAGCCTTGTACTTGGCACGATTTAGTCCTCTAAATGTGGATTTCGCTTTATTCCTTTGATGTTACCATAACCTTAGCAATTTCCTTAACTGCAGATAAAATCGACATCATATGGCGTACTCAAACTGTTATGAAACTAACCTGGTAATTCCCTTATCCGCACATGCTTTTCCACATATTCTCTCATCAACGAGTGGATGTCGTATCTAATCTTTTGTCTCTGTACTAAGGTTAACCCTGCTGATTCTTCATGTATAATGGACACTCTTGATAGTTCTTTCACGACTTTAACGCCACCAGTTTCTTGCTTGATTCCTATATATGAGAAAGGAGAAAAGTGAAGGAACCACATTCTTATACACTCCAAATGCATCATGTAATCTGTTATACAAAGGTTTTCATCAAAGACAGCTAGTAATATATCTTTCTTTATACCATTCATCTTACTCTGTCTTATTTCGGTCAGATCAGATCATTGCATTTGGGTATGTGTTCTTTCGAAATGACACAGCTGATATTAATACTAGACACAAAGAACTGTACATTCAAGCTCCCAGGTTTTTTGCTACATCAGTGGCACAGACTATCATCAGGCATAAAAATTATTTCAAAAGTCGTCTTCCTACTTTTGTGTCGGATGGCTGTATATTACACAGAATCATAAAGAATCATCAAGATCTATCTACCCTTACCCAAAACTGCAGCAACGGCCTCTTTGCTGAAGTGACCAGGGATATAACCAATAGCCGCTAAGTGCTGCCTGAAAACGTCAGTCAGTCGTGCAAGGTGGTTTCTTATCACTTTATCTAAAATAATAATTGAAAATACACATATGGGATGCATAAGCTAATAAAGAACATCTTTTACATTGTCTTAATTTCATTTTAGTTAAAAGTATTGACTTGTGATTATTCCCATGTGATCACTTATTAAAACATAATATTGCTTTTCAAGATTTTTCAAAACATTTTTGTTAAATCCAATATGATCCTTAGTTTAAATGTCAAACTATTCCACAATATAACAATATGGATATCTGCACCTGAGCGTTCAATTAATTCTCCAAAGTTAACCTACCTATTCTCTCAGAGTCAGAGAAACTCTCGTCACTAAGAGCTTTCAGTCTTTCTTCCTTTATGAGGTCCAACATTTCGCTTGGGCTCAGATTACCATCGCGTAGAATGCTTCCTGGAGAAATTCGAGGTATATATTCACAATAAAACATTTAACAAAATGAATAAATTACTTTATAGATAAATAAGTAATGTTTAGAAAGTAATGTATTGCACAATAAAGAAAATTGATTTTTTTTGCTGTATTGGCATTATTTATGTTATTATTTATTCATTTATTTATTGTGTTGAAATTCTTTCTTGAGAATACCTCGAACTATTTAGGCATTAATGATTCCACTCTCTTAGTGCCTAAATAATTCGAGGTATTCTCAATAAAATTCAACACAATAAATAAAAATAAATGAATAAATAAATAAATAAATAAAGTTTAAAATCAACTTTCTTTATTGTGTTACTTGCAAGAAAATGCATATATTCGACTTACCTACAATGATTAAAGCAAGAGGCAATCTTGCACATTGTTCGGCAAGTTTGGTCAAAGTATTTTCATCTATAAATGGACCTTCATTTTCTGCATGGGAGTGAGAAAAAGTGTCAAGTAATAACGTTTTTGCGTCTGAAATACAAAGTGGCATTAAACTCAGCTGAACATATTCTCTGTTCAGTCTTGCCAATTGAAACCTGGTGGGGGAAACGATGAAGACTCTTACATCGGGGCACAGGGTTATGACGTCAAAAACAAACGTGAGCAGCAAATTCTGCAGGTCATGACTGGCTTTTCTCGTAGTTGCCTCAGACTCAGCAATGTACTCGCAGTTTTCAAAAATCAACACACAGGGAGCAATATTTTTTAAATGCTCAATGATTTGTTGCTGCAGCAGCTCAGGGGTGGAATCGCCGGTAAGCAAAGGCACTTCGTCTTCTAATAATTCGAGAGCAACGTACTTAAAGAAGTCTTTTGCACTGTTTACACTTTGCATCGACACGAACATAGTGCATAGGTCACCATTATACGCCTTTACAGACACCTGTCTCAAAATCTCCCGCGTTAAGCTTGCCTTACCAATGCCGGGAGGGCCATAGATACCAAATATCCGATGCTGTGCCCAAGAATCTGTTATAAGCTTTATTTCCTTTTCTCGGCCGAAGAAAGTAGGGCGTTCTAAATGGATCGCCATGTTGTTTACTGTTAACACGTGATGCAAAGAAAATTTGACCTTTCTGCAACAAAAGAATCAGCTGTGATTGTGCAATGCGAGTGCGTGCAGTGGGCCGTTCTGTGAACTAGGGCTATTTTACGTAGCAAACCCGCATGTCAAAGTTCAGAGGTATTGGCGTTATTATCTTTTTAGTTGGGAGACCACAGCGTATATGTTATTTACAATTTTTTGAAATGATAAAGAAGGCAGCAAAGGCCTATTCTGTATCAACATAAGGCTGCCATTTAGTGGTAAAATCTGTGAAAAGGGCCCATGTCTATAAATTGGGCAATGTACTTGTACGTATCCACGTTTATTTCTGCCAGTCACATAGGGAACCCATTTCAAGTGAATGTTGTGGGGTAGGGGCAGCCATGAATTCAGAAAAAAAGCTGCGCTATCGGGTTAATTTCCTGTAGCCTCCTCTCTGTCCTTGTGCACACGTACAGTATGCACTAAAATATGACTGACGTGGTTAAAAAATGTGCGGGGAGGGGGCGGGATTGATAATGCTCATACCCGAGTATATATATAGTGTGCCAACCCAGACATTGGTGTCTGCAGGTACACGCATGTATTTATCTCCAGCCTATCACATACACTGTTTCTATGCACACATTCAGCTTTGACCTAAATAGCCTAAATAGCGAAACTCTAGGAAAATCTGCTTAGTCATCGCAGGACTTACAATAGATTGGCTTTTTAAACCATGAATAGAGCTACAAGTATATTTTGCTGTGAAACAATACTACCGTCTACAAGTGCCCATTCTACTAGGAACATACATGAGCTTCATGTGATTGTCTGTAGATCGAATCACTAGTATATATATATAGGCCTACTAGTCTACTATATGTTGTATATAAAATTAAGAGTACAGCACTGTAGCGCAGAAACAATGCTGACAGAATAAATGAAAGGTATTTTTAATGAGTGAACAATGTCACAATGGTCGTACATGTATGGCGTGTGCATACTTTTAGGACCTACAGGAGAAGTTATTAAAGTCTGTTTATTTGTTTTTCAGCTACGAGAGAGCGTGGCCCACGTGATCAATCACTGATATGACTCATGTTTTTCATAAAACAACATTGCAGAACAAATGCAGAAACTCTCGATATGGAACTGGGAATTTTGGCGTGCTAAATATAGATTGTTCAGATCAATTAATTTTCCAATATTCAGACTTTGTGCAGAGGAATAGAGAGGAACCATGAATTCTGTGAATGATGATGCACAATTTGGATACACGTTTGTTGGTCGTGAATTGGAGATGGACGAAGTTTTGAAACGATGGGAAAAGTGTCGCATATTTGGAATCTACGGCCAACCTGCCGTCGGCAAGACCAAATTTGCTGAGAGAGTCTTACAAAACGTCGATACGTGGTACAGAAAAGAGAGGTCTGTAGCAAGATGCCTGCCGCCTGGGAAAACCAGCAACAGCGAAATTGATCGAACAGATAATGACAAAATAGTGCCCCTTTATGTGGCGAGGGTGGATCTCACAGGAGTACAATCTGCACTCCAGATTATTGAACGATTCAATCTAGCCACGAAGTTTCCTACATCGTTCAACTACCATGACCCTTTCGACGAGGCGTCGCAGTTTAACTGGAAGCACGACTTGGCTGCGCATATAAAGAACCATTTTGATAAGGTGTGCAAGAGATACGTCATCTTAATAGATAATTGCGAGCACGTTGTCGTTGCTGATGAAAAGAATTTTACTGAGTCCAAGCTTCAGAATGACTTAACAGCCGGTACGAAAGAGGATACGGATGCCGACCCTGACTATCTGCATCAGGATAGGCCCATCCAAACATTGCTACTGAATCTGATTGGAGACCTAGTCAAGCAATGCCAAAACCTATGGGTATTATTGGTATCAAAATACAGTTTTAACTTTGCCTCCCTAGGCAGAGTTTATCACCCAGTCCGATTGTCTCGATTGACTACCGAAGAGGGAGGGTCATTGCTGCAGGAGGTGTGCGACTCTGTCAAGTTCAGAAATGACCAACTTGAGGAATTAGTAGAAAAGTGTGAAGGCGTGCCCCTACACATCATAGTTGTAGGTAAGTAATGTATGTGTCTTGTTATAATAATAATATTAACAATAATCATAATAATAAATGGATGAATAAAAAAGCACAATCTTCAAATTAGCATGGGTCCTCTTATTGGCGAGATCAAATAATCGTTAAATATGACGACTGACCTAGATACACGTTGGGATATACACAACCATAGAATTGCATTAAGAGCGTAAAATCAATAATAGGCTTCAAATAAATAGCCTTTCAAATGTAACCAGAATTTGTTCTGATTGACGAAAACACTATGCCAATGGTTAAACCCACACCGTTTAGTTTGTCAGGTAGAGGGGTCGATCGGTACGAAGTGGGTGACTTAGGTTCATTGGTATCATATGGAATCTCATAAATTTAGCCAGGAGTCAGATTATGTGTGGTAGCACTCTCAAATCAGAAGCTTTCATTATGTTTGTAGTCATTATATACGGTAACACCCTAACAGATGAGAGTATAAACATCCATATAGTGAAAACATATGATATAAAGCAACACTTTTGCGTCAATATATGCATTTTCAAGAAATAAGTAAAGTTAGTTTCGTAATATTGAGTAACCTGTTAACAAATGACGTCAGAGGTCACCTGAGGTCAAATTTGAGGCATTTTTATGAAAAATAAACTTGTGAAGTTATTTTTAAAGAGACTGTTAGTCAATATTAAGGGCATGGTAATTTCTGATAATTTCTGCCCTCATGAAAGAGATTTCATAAGATTTGACATTTTATTGTACAGTATGAGACATTTATGGATCACACAAATACTTGAAGTGTTTTTGAATTAGGGGATATGGGAGGAAAATACTCACCATTTAATAGGTTTGCTACATGAAGGTATGAATAGAAGTTAGGCTCATTTATTTAGCTGAAAAATTGTTCTAATAGGTAAAGTAACAAAAATGTTATTGTGCAATCTAGCTTTAAAGTAAGTCAAAGTTCACATGCGGTCAAATTTGAATGATTTTCAGGCCTCTGTCTAAATATTATAATATCCCTTAAATATAGACTTATTTACTAGAAATAATCTAAAACATTATTTTTCATTTCCATTCACTTTAATGAAATAACTTATGGGTTAATTTCTTCCCGAAAATGACTCAAATTTGACATTACATTACTTTTGCCCTTTGATTTGCTTTAATTTCTACATCACACATAATATTAATTATTGTTGTTTCTTCACCTGTTATGACAGTTATTTTCATATCTAGCAAACCTAATAAATGGTGATCATCTTTCCTACCCCAACCAGATATTCAAAAATTGAACCAAGCGCCCGCTATAGCACAAACGCAACCATTTTCACCTGCCTTAAATGTGATCTGTCTCTTTCCTTATTTTCTTTAAGGGACCGAGTTGAATGGCAGTGAACATTTGTACAAAGCAGGTGGATTGCTAGAAGTTCTTAGGGAAGATAGACTGCGGTCATTAGGAGAAGAGGGTCTCACCGACGACGAGAGAGCGGGTATAACGGAATTTATTCTCCTTTTCAAACAGATACCAGGCAACACAATTGTACAGTCATATTTAATGGAAATATTCATTTTTAGTCATTCTGCTCCGATTGGGTGGCGCTGTGGTTACCTGTAATTAATAACTGAATGTTTTGAGATTTAACTTTTCGATAGTTTGAATGTACATGGTATTCCTCTGAACACAAAGTGCTTAATATACTCCTCGAAGACCTTTGATAACGGTTATAAAGAGCACATGAAATAATTCACTTTTTTAAATTTCATTTTCAGAGAAAATAGAAGCGAAGGAATTCAGTAGGCTACCACCCAAATTACAGAAAAATGCGTTATCACTGGTCAACTTACAGAATGGTTGCAGTAAAGAAGACATGGCAGCACGGACAGGTATAATAAGACTCTACGAATACATCTTCTTAATGTATAGACCCGTCTTAGAAATATGAAATAACCTAAAAAATTAAGGATGTATTTATTTTTTCTGTTTTTGTGGCGATTTTCCTAACCATACTTACACCATACTTACGCTATGACTATTAAACGTGTTTCAACTTACGACAGTGGGAAAATTGTCTTGAGTAGCACAGAAAGCAAGGTTTATTGTGCATTAATATTGCTTTCAATACATTAAGCATACATATTAAATATCAATGTGTGTGCGTGAGCGTCAGTGTCATTATGCAGTGTTTTGTGTAAGTGTATTTTTCTACTTATCACAACGTGATGTATTGTCTGTAAACCTCTGTAAGGAAATCTGTAAGCAGCATTGAATTGCGTTGTGTGTGTTGAATAAAAATTGTCACCGAGGTGCACGAATAAAAAAAGATATAAATGTCAAGCAGATTTTAATAGTGATGATATGGACTATCTAAAATATGAGCCATTTGAATAATGAATCTTTTTGCGGGGTGCACTTCGTAATCGATTGTCTTCTTGACCTCTAATAATCACTGACCTCTCTTTCAGGATATACGTCGACTCCCATGGCAATGCGAAATGTGGGTGCTCCTCTTATCAGACGTGGCAAGGCTGACTGCAATCCAAATAATGAAAAGATAGCGCTTCTGCCGTTCACAGAGGAATTTGTCGCGAACCGAACAGGACAGAAGTTGCCCAAAAGTATGTTAGTTGATCCTTAGCACTATATATACAGACGTGTTAACTCCTATTTTGTTTCGCAATATCTACTAAAATATCAATAAAAGGAATTATATATTAACAAAAGTGCAATATATAATATGATTTGTTCACCCATTCAAAGCGTTCATTTGTTTGTATATTCATTCAATTACCTTTTTTATATTATGTTTGTGTTTCAAAAATATTTTCTTATATTCTACAGAACTTGCTGAAAACAGTGCGAATGAAAATTATTCGAAAGAGTCTAAAACGTCAAGTTTACCTCAAGTCACAGAGGCCAATCCCTCAGTAACGTACCATCAAACACACACTTCTGAGGTCGAGGCTATCGGCACAACTGTGCAAGTCACCAAGTCCAAACAGGAGTCGGCGCCAAAAACAAGCGACAAGAAAACAAAACGATCAAAACTTACTGTGGCCGAGCGTTTAGAACAATCCGTGCGACCAAAAACGGCATCTATTAAAACGCCACTGCACTGTGCAAAAGCGGGTCCAATGCTCTTTCCCAATTACCCATCGTCACTAAAGGAACGATATGTGACGAACCCGTATCTCAATACTCGATGTTGCTTATCTGACACAGAATCTGTAGTCTCTGATGTAAGATTACCTGGGACGTACAACGAGCTTGATACACAGCTCAGGAAGTGTGAAGATTATGAACAGAGATCTGAGACAAACCCAGTCAACTTTTCCTCCCCACTGGAATGGAATATCTTGCCAGATATATCACGACCAGGCGGGACAGGGCCGAGTTCATGTGATGACAATAACGACGGTTACAGTGATTTAAGTACACACGTGGACTTCTTTGGTCCAAAATTGATGGCAGATGGAGGTTTGAATAACTCGTTTAGTTCGACTGACAGCAATCAGACTCCGAGAAAGGAACTTGTATGAACACAGCCCACATGCGTTTTTTAAACTGAAAATGAGCTAAGCGTGATGAGAGAAAGAGTGAGAGAGAGAGAGAGAGAGAGAGAGTGCAATGCATTTTCTCACTTTTTTTTTCTGAAGCTTCACACGGCGTGTGTATATATATACATGTGATATACGTGTTAAAAAGAATGAAATATTTATTTAAAGGGTTAGAAATATTATTCATTGTTTGTGATTCAGTCGAATTTTTATTCAGATGAATAAAAGTATTCTGGTGTATGTTAGCCATTGAGTCGTATTCCACATATATAAAAAATCTAATTTGTGCGGAATCTGAAAACGCCATATGGTATCATTGTGTTGGATAAATATAAACCAACAAAGAAATCACGAAGTTTGTGAACATAAGTCATTGTATCTGTTTCTCCTGAGAACATCTAGCTAGCGTATTGCAGAAATTTGGAAACACGCTCACCGGTCTCTTGACCTCAAGCAGAATCGGTCTTGTCGGGAGAGCCCAAGTTTGGGGGGGGGGGGGTCCTAGTGGATAACAGACCAGGTTATAAATTGTGGAAATTTTTTTTTTCGACACAGTGGTCTCAAGTTATCAGTCAGTTATAGCTCGTGGCAATATTAATCATGACAATTCCTTTGTAGTTTGTAAATTAATTTAAAAGATGATATTAGCCTTTTAAATCTTCAGTATGAAAAATATTGCCAAGCTTCATAGCATTAGGCGATATGCGTAAAATTATTTGCACATCACTACGTGCTCGAAAAAGTGCTATGACGGAAATTGAATAGATAATTATATTTTGAGATTTTAAACTGATTTAGATTTGGCCTTTGTAAAAAAATTTCAATTAAATTCAAATAAAACGACAAAGCTTTGTTTACTTCTATGAAAATTTATTGGTAACCACAACATTTATGAACTTTCATATATATATATGCTCCACATTAAAATAATGAAAACAGACATCGATGCATTTTCATTTGTGCAGCACAAGCACGAGGAAAGCAAAAGCTGAAAAGTTAATCTAATGCCAGTTTTCCTTCTTTTCATTTTGAAGAGCAATCCTGTCTCAGCACAAATAAATACACAAAATGATTGAATATAAACAAGTCATTATGAGTACTAGAGATGTCTCTCCCTTTACACAGTTAAGAGTCCTCTATTTTGCTTAATATATATAAGAAACTATACTAAAATTACCGTTTAGAAATAAGGTGAATAGAATTAAATAAAAGAATGAAATCCAATTACCATGGAATGGATTTAACCAATGCCATAAAATGAAAACTGTCAACTGTCAAATTGTTTCATAAAAACACATTCCCGTATTCCCTACAGCTGCGTCGTCGCCTTTCATTGCCGGGACAACTCCAGGAAAGGGGATAGAAAGCGCTCCACTGGATACTGTTGGTTGTCTATTCCATATTTCCTGCAAACAGCCAACAGCTTTTTCTTCGCCTCATTTACAGATTTCCCCTTTACAGCTACCTGGCATAACAGGTTCTCAAAGGGCTCATTTTCTTTCAACTCGGACTCCATTGGAAACAAAATTATTTCCCCTTTTTCATGAGCCTCGGCAAGGATCTCCAGTGTAGCAATGCCCGGTCGCGACAGTGCCTTGGCGTGGGCTGTTGTGGTACACATGACCCCTATGAGCTGGCACTTTGGCTCCAATGGTCGGACGCTGGGTTGTATCCCACATGCAATTAAGAAATTTAGGAAAAGGATATCTGTTTCGAAGACGGTGCGTACCCAGTTCCGGTAATGGGCGCCGGTTACACGTCCGTTGATCTCGATCAGTTTCGGTCCCGTCGGCGCCATTTTAAACTCTACACTATACACTCCCTCAGTGAGACCAACCGCGTCAACACACTGCTTTGTGGCCATTACCATCTGTCGCTGCTTGTCAAGGGGTAAACTTGACGGCATACATGACGAAGTCTCAAAAAAGAGAGGAAAGCGGGTAGGTCCACAATCAGAGATGAATGCCGCTAAAATCTTTCCTCGAAACATGACGACCTCGACTCCATGTTTGGTTCCTAGTGCATACTCTGCTAGGTGCATTTCCTTGCCGTAACCAATACCAAACGCTTTTTCATCTGTGTTCTTTAATGTTTTCTGAATGCTGTTGAAGCATTTCAGACATTCTTCCTCGTCTTTGACCAGATGGACACCGAAGGAATATGCCCCGTATTCCGGCTTCAGAATGGCGGGATACCTTATGAGATTTGACGATCCCTTCACATCTTCAGGTCGGACAATTTCGCGTATCTTGACTGCATATAGATGAGGTTTTGGCAAGAAAGAGCTGTAGGTTGACGATGCCAATAAAGCATTTTGGCTCAAACTTTTCTTCTTAGCCTTTCTTGAAGCCTCGGGGGTATTTCCAAGCATGCGCAGTGCTTCGCACACCAGAGCCGTCAGAGGAACGTAATTCTCGTCCACAGTCATGCATCCGTCTACGTCTAGGCCTTGTGTGCGCAGTAGATGGACAATTTTCTTGGTATTTTCATCATCGTGGCTGTGGTCTTCTATATCACATTGGATAAACTTGTATACCCTTTTCACCGCACTGTGATTAGGATCTGGGTCAATCAAAATGATCTGAAATGGGTTAAAAACACGCACATGCATTAAGGAGCATTCATTAACAAGACTTCATTTTAAGAAAGCTATGACCATTACCTTGATACCAATAACAATTCTGATACTTTTCTAATAGAAGTTCTTATAAAAATAAATTTCATATATACTTTAAACGGTAAGTTTACGACATGATATATATTTAAAGTAAATTAAATAAGCAAAACGTATAACATTTTTTTCAAATCACGAACCCTCTAAATACAAGTGTTAAATTTGTATTTCTACTGCTGAAAAAATTTACCTTAACATTGTACTCCTCGGCAGCTCTCCAAACGAACTCTTTGCGTATCCCTTCTCCTCCTCCAATAAGGAGGATTTTCTTTCCTCGAAGAAGAAATCGCTGACTACGGTTGACCATGGTTGCCACCAGGGGCCGCACGCTGCTTCCAAGCTCGGCAGGGTTCTGCAATTCCCACATCTGTGTGTTTGCAATGATTTTCCTGCTGTTATTGACACTGACAGCAACGGCCTCATAACTGCCGGCTTCTTGCTGAGTCAAGACAAAATTGACTCCTGAAAAATATAATAAATCTATCTAGAAAAATGTAACTTTTTATCATGCAATAAAGCCAGAGCAAGCGAATCTAGTTATCACCATTTCTGAGTCGTCTTTGTACTGCGCAAGCCTGTTACCTCATATACACTACTTAAAAGAAGTTAGGAAATGTTTAGAACAGCTGATGTTAAGAAAGAAGGTTTACTGTTCAATAACTTTAAGCGTAAAAATTGCAAATTATAAATTATAATTGTTTGCCACAATATTTAAAAAATCATGCATTGTGTTTGAAGCCATGTAATTTTATCTTTATTTTTACTTTATTCACCCGCCAAAATAATAATTATAACACTAATGTTTTCTTTTAACAAGCAAAAATTATTTGTATTGCAACACAATTAAGTACAGAAATGACATCCAATACAGAATGACGAATTTGACTTAGAATTGCTAAAATTTAATAACAGTGCATGGTCATATTTCAAACTTTTGCGCCTTATATAGCGGGTGTCCCCTACGCCTTTTTTATTAGTATATTATTCGCATTCAATATAAAATGTTAACTTTAGAGATATACACAATATTGTTTTAAATCTTAAANCCGGAGGATGTCATCCATAAAAATAAAAAAGTGTGGCCTAATGTGAGCAGTTGGGAAGACCCAGTCCAGTGTCTTGTTGTCCTCCCTTTTATACTGTTTTGATCGTTTTTCAGGTTTGGAGTTTTTCAGTAGGCCTACTGCTTTGTTATCGGCTGTATCTCTGGAATCTCCACTGACAGCGATTGAAGAGAGCTTACCTGGATCTTCAAACAATCAAAGAGCCCTTTCAGGTAGTTTAATTGGAAGAAAGTTATCTTATCTGTTGGTGTCCATATAGAAATTAAAACTAAAACAGATACGATCTTCACAGGCATGCTTGTATTTGTCTTTGTCTTTGAAAGTGGGAGCCGAAAGAGGGCTCTGATGACAATTTATTAGTAAATTACATGTACTTGCCATTTTGATAATTTGAACTATTTTGTCTAGTGATTTTTTTTACCTATGTAGCCGCAGAGAGAATTGAGATCACAGACAGGATTACAAAGTTTACCTACTCAATAAACCTTTTAATTATTCTGCTATGAAGTGCGTAAATGGCAATAAAATGCTACTGGAACAGATAACTATTACATTTTCTTTTGTGATGTATGTTGCACACTTTAAACAGAGGATATGATACAAGAAGGCCTATCAATGAACATATATGAACTGGAAGAAACGAGCAGGTGGAGCTGTTTGCAGAGTAAAATCTATCAACACATGCTCAATTATAAATTTACAGCAATTATAAGTAAAAAAAAAAAAAAACAGCAATTGAATTTTTGTTACGGATTCAGTGTTTTTATTTTTCTGACATTACTGTTACATTTGCTTTCAAGCTTTATATCATTGAAATTCCTATTTCTTTTACTGTAGGCCTACAAATGTTTATATTCAGAATACAACTTAACAGTTTACATCAAAAAGTTTTATAACTCCTATCTAACATACCTTACAGGTAGAAATACATGTAAAATGTGGATTTAAACTTAACAAGTTTATAGCATCTTTTATTTTGCATTGTGTTTAAGAATTAAAAGTAATTAATGACAGAAAAATGTTCATTCAATTCTGATTTTTTATCATACTTTGTATTGTGATATCTGATGTCCCTCAAATGAAAACATTACTTTTAAAATTTATATTATTTTCTGCAAAAGGACACCATGAACTTCATTTAACATCAGAGTCAAAATTATTTTTAGATTTTGATACCTTATAAAGATTTCAGCTTTCATTCAAAAATAAAGACGAATAGAATGTTTATAGTGCATTAGTGCTGTTCAAATTATTTCCAATTATGAAAGGATAAAAACTTGGAAGCTACTGGTGATTATCCCCCCAGTAGCGTCAAAACTGA